CGGTCAGCGACAATAACAGTTTTGTTCTGTGCTTTCTGTTTGTCGGACATGCAGTGGTACAAACACGCAAACGGGTGCTGGAGCGACATTATAGGCGAGTGGGAGAAGCATGTATACGTGTATCATCAGCGCCCCCTGCTGGGAGTCGAGCCACAGGTGCCTCTAACGTCCATTTGTACACAGTATGGCAGTTATCTACACAGGTTAATGTTACTTATATGTCATATTTACTAATATAGAGGCATGTGACCGGTATAATACTCGGCTACCAGCTGGCCGCACAGCGGTTAGAAGGACACGTGACCAGTCTATAAAGACAGTTACTCGGTCACAGGATGTCAGCAATGCCGTCGAGAGGGAAGAATGGCGAAGTGGGTGAAGCGCTCGTTCGTCACGTCGATTCCCGATGTGGTTATTACAATGCCAGTTCTTGGTGTCGGGGTAAAAGTCGAATATTGCCATGAGCGGGGTAAATCCAAACTCACTCTCACATTTGTAAACGCTACCCAGAATCTACATACTCCATACATTGATAGAAAAGGGGAGTGCGTGATTATTGCCCAAAACCTTGTATTAAACGTAGTGATAATCGTAGAAAAATTCTACACCTTGATCATTCTGTGATATTTAAAACCCACATATGAAATACTACAAACATGTCCCACCTTGTCCACAACGTCCGTATCCATTCTTGTCAGTGACAGTTGGTGGAAGTGGATGGTGTTTGTGTGACAGACAAGATGGCCAACTCTCTCCGGCCAAGTATTTTACAAGACGGGAATGTGAGATATCTAGTCAATTAACTAGCTATGAAGACAAGGCTGTCCTGTTACAGCAGACCTGTTGTTGGGACTTGATGTTCACTCACTCACTCTGCGTGGCAGAAACATCTGTACAAATACACAGTACATTTGAATATTGTCACCTGGAACCATATACAGTTGACACTTCCATCATTGATCATATGTGATCATTATGGTTCGTGACTGAAAAAAGGAAATACATGATAAACATTTTACGGTCTGCTCCACTCGGGACATATTGAATTTTAAAATATCGATTCACAAAAACACTTTGATATACAAACAGGTTGAGAATAGTGTTACATGAATTATCCGGCGTCGGCCTTGAATAATGGATCTGATATGTTTTTATACATTTTCATTAAATTAGCCAATGTTGCCTGGCTGAACGCACCAGTAACGCTCTTTTGTTGTTACATGTAACTAATAAATTTATATAAAACTGCTATTTTATTGAAAGACATTTCTTTCATTGAAGAAGGGAGGAACAAGACAATTGCTCTGGACATTCAGCATAAACAGGGAACTAACTAAACTAGATATTAGCGTTTACTGGAATTAATTTTAAAAAAATCCAATCCCAGTCCTACCTAGAAAGTCAGATGGTCAACCCAGACCTGAAGGGTCCACACTGGGCAACATTGTTCATTTCGCAGGACATGATTATATTTAAGCAATTGATCGAAGACAAGTGGTAGTGAAACGATGAATAATCCAGATCAAAAGAATACTTCGTAAAGTATCCACATTTTTGACACATTAGTTGTTATTTAACTACAATTCTGTAACTGACAACAAACTAAATATGCTCGGACTAAATTAAAGTGCGAAACTACAATCAACAATTTGCATATTTTGCAGACAAATTATGGAGCGAAAATACTTAAATCATACATTATTCAAACAATTGAATAATGTACAATAGGGAGAATGCCTTGCGCCGTTGTCTGAAACAGTTCCCACAGGAACCACAGGCTTGGTGATAAGTCTTTAATCTCCCAGAACAGGCTCGAGTCATTTAAATTCATTTAAATCCCGGTCTGTGAAAGCATGGATACATGCTGGTCTGAATGACCCGTAGCAGTGGAATATACAGACTGTAGTGCATGGGAGGCGATAAATACAAGACTGGTCGGAAATAAGTGCCAGTATGATTGAGTAACGACGTATACAGAGTGTATTGCAAGGAATCAGTGACTACAGCACTGACCAGAAATAAGTGTCATTGTGATTGCGTCACCTCATGTGGAACCTGCACTGTATCGCGTTGACAGCTGCACTGCAATCGACTAGTTCTACGTGCACTATACCAAACACGGGTACAGGGCCAAGATATTATTATTTGTATCTCCGAGGGACAAACACGTTGTTGTCAAACCGGTTTCCACAAATGTACTTCTCGGGTGTCTGGAAGTCTATAAAGGAGAGAAACGTGAGATGATTTACAATCATACAGATTGACTCAAAAGGATAATCATCTCTTCTTATAACAGTGACTCATACGTCATATATACTCTATGTAACATATGTTATATTTGGGATTACACCCGCTCCATTGGACGTCGCGGTGGCTGAGCGGGTTAGGCGGCTGACTTTGTGTGCTGGCGATTAGGTGCCTGACTCTGAGGGTGTGGGTTCGAATCCCGGATGGGACTCAACCCAACAAAAGTACTAGAATCTGTACTTTACTGAGAAAGTATAAGCCCAAATACATATGTTACACTTGATCACTTTCTAAATGGCATTGTGTAATCACGTCATATATACTCATAAAAACGAATAAGGGAATACAAAGCCATGAAAGTACAACACTGTGCTGGTACCTGTCGGTCTGACAACACCATGTTGTTTAACGCTGCTGTCAACAATAGTCCACCTGTTTTGACGTTTGCTGCCTATTCAACGAGTATGGACCAGATAAACCAATGGTTGATATTCGGAGCAAAGCCCCATGCTGTGGGAAGACGGTAATACATCCAGTAAGGTTAATCTGTCCGGACAGTGGTTCGTGATTGGCTGAAGAAGTCTGAACTGTCCCAACAGTGGTTCGTGATTGGCTGAAGTAGTCTACACTGTCCCAACAGTGGTTCGTGATTGGCTAAAGAAGTCTGAACTGTCCCGACAGTGGTTCGTGATTGGCTGAAGAAGTCTGAACTGTCCCAACAGTGGTTCGTGATTGGCTGAAGTAGTCTGCACTGTCCCAACAGTGGTTCGTGATTGGCTGAAGAAGTCTGAACTGTCAGTGGTTCGTGATTGGCTGAAGTAGTGTGAATTGTCCCGACAGTGGTTCGTGATTGGCTGAAGTAGTCTGCACTGTCAGTGGTTCGTGATTGGCTGAAGTAGTGTGAACTGCCCCGACAGTGGTTCGTGATTGGCTGAAGTAGTCTGCACTGTCAGTGGTTCGTGATTGGCTGAAGTAGTGTGAATTGTCCCGACAGTGGTTCGTGATTTGCTGAAGTAGTCTGCACTGTCAGTGGTTCGTGATTGGCTGAAGTAGTGTGAACTGCCCCGACAGTGGTTCGTGATTGGCTGAAGTAGTCTGCACTGTTCCAGCTGTATCACGTCAGTCTATTAACACGGTATAAACATCAGCATCTCGACGCACCTCGGCAGCTGTTGGATGGCCATAAATGTTTGGAACAAGTACAACGTAGTGTAACAGTCTATTCAGTTTGGACTATACCCTCTCTTCTGTATTGTCGTCGCCTCAGAGTAGATCAAATACATAACAACATACTCACATTGTCGGGGTGGCGCCAAGCCAATAACGCTACGGTACTCATGTAACACTAATGTGTAACCACACCTGAGTATAATACTACTAACGCATTACTGTAGAAAGACAGACACACAGTGTACAACATTTCAGGAAAGTTAAATACCTATTATGTCTTTAGTAGTCACTAGTCACTGAACAGATCGTAAACACTTGTGGAAGAAGTGGCAGCAAAAAAAATGTCTCCTTGTTAGTGTCGTGGAATGTCTTACACAAATACGCTCAGTGTATACATCAGGCTTCATGTTAAACCACACATCACTCTGAACAGATTGACAAAGCATGATACATGACCCATATATCTCACAGTCTCAACTTATTACTGCCGTGTCTGGTCCTAGACATTGATGACTGACAGCATGAACAATTGTAGGGACACATTGGCAAATGTCCAGTGGACCCCTGTTCGGATGTCACAACTCTGTTGGGAGCAAGAGGTCTAACCATTTTTGGAGTCTGTCAACTCGAGGCTGTATTGGGTAAACGTTAGGCCTTAAGCGGAAGGCTAACACAGGTTGAGTTTTACACTTAATAATGAAATATGAAAACAGTTTTAACGCATGTGCGTACTTCTTTGTTTATACGAGAGTGGTCTAATGGCGGATTCCACGTGCTACAACAGGGATACCAGACCGCCGGGTAACATGGAGACCCACTGACATACAGTCTACCATCTTGGAGCTCATCAGGCCCTGTTTTATCCCATGAATGTCACGTGCCATACAGGAACTCTAGTACCGCCTTTCAACGCATTTCATATGGTGACCTCATGCTCTCGGGTCAGGAGCTCTATACACAAACATGGAGGTCGTCTGGAGTCTCTCCGTCTACACAAGATGAACTAGTGACGTCAGCAGAGTCTTGTTGATGCAAGCTGAGAATGGGGATTGCGATGAAATTATTGTGAATTGGATCAGCTTAAATGAAATAGCTTTTCGTTTGAACATCAAAACTTGACACTACGCGTGAATCGTTTATAAATAAGCTCGATAGCAAAGGTTACATTGGTTTAAGGCGCGGAAATCATCTACATAGAGTTGTGTCCCTTTAGTAATGTTAGGATTTGCTGATCTGAGTTTGACTGTAAGCTTCGGAGGAAACACCATCCCTTGTCTGTAGGAGTGAAACCTGGGTCATGGGTCTCATCACTTTGGATATTATCTCACACTCAGCTGATATTGGTGGTGATTGGGAAAGCTGTGTTTGGGGAGGGAGTTTCGTGACCCGAGTGAAGTCGGTGCTCGCTGTGAATACTGCAGTCTGTACCTATCACCACCCATCAGCGGTAAACAACCTGTTTACATGGGCAGAGACAAGGAGTCGAGAAGGGTGGATGTAGCCTGGCGTTACGCTTCACTAGACGCACTTGGCAATGTTTTCGTCTATCCAAAGTACGTGTGAAAACACACTTGTCTGACTAGTTAAAAGCTCAACAGTATTCTCGGGGAGAGCAGTATTCTCTGGGAGGAGGGTGTTCTCTGGGAGGGCAGTATTCTCAGTGAGGACAGTATTCTCGGGAGAGTCCTATTCTCAGTGAGGACATTATTCTCGGGGAGAGTAATATTCTCAATGAGGACGGTATTCTCGGGGAGAGCAGTATTCTCAGTTAGGACGGTATTCTCAGGGAGAGCAGTATTCTCAGTAAGCACGGTATTCTCGGGGAGAGCAGTATTCTCAGTTAGGACCGTATTCTCAAGGAGAGCAGTATTCTCAGTGAGGACAGTATTCTCAGGGAGAGCAGTATTCTCAGTTAGGACGGTATTCTCAGGGAGAGCAGTATTCTCAGTAAGGACGGTATTCTCAGTTAGGGCGGTATTCTCGGGGAGAGCAGTATTCTCAGTTAGGACGGTATTCTCGGGGAGAGCAGTATTCTCAGTTAGGACGGTATTCTCGGGGAGAGCAGTATTGTCAGTGAGGACGGTATTCACTGGGAGAGCAGTATTCTCAGTGAGGACAGTATTCTCAGGGAGAGCAGTATTCTCAGTAAGGACGGTATTCGCGGGAAGAGTACTATTCTCTGGGAGACCAGTATTCTCAGTTAGGACGGTATTCTCAGGGAGAGCAGTATTCTCAGTAAGGAGGGTATTCTCGGGAGGAGTACTATTCTCAGGAACGACAGTATTCTCAGGGAGAGGAGTATTGTCAGTTAGGACGGTATTCTCGGGGAGAGCAGTATTCTCAGTGAGGACGGTATTCTCGGGGAGAGCAATATTCTCAGTTAGGACAGTATTCTCGGCGAGAGCAGTATTCTCAGTTAGGACGGTATTCTCGGGGAGAGCAGTATTCTCAGTGAGGACGGTATTCACTGGGAGAGCAGTATTGTCAGTGAGGACGGTATTCTCGGGGAGAGCAGTATTGTCAGTGAGGACGGTTTTATCAGGGAGAGCATTATTGTCAGTGAGGACGGTATTCTTGGGGAGGGCAATATTCTCAGTTAGGACAGTATTCTCGAGAGCATTATTGTCAGTGAGGACGGTATTCTCGGGGAGAGCAGTATTGTCAGTGAGGACGGTATTCTCAGGGAGAGCAGTATTCTCAGTTAGGACGGTATTCTCAGGGAGAGCAGTATTGTCAGTGAGGACGGTATTCTCAGGGAGAGCAGTATTGTCAGTGAGGACGGTATTCTCAGGGAGAGCAGTACGGTATTCTCAGGGGAGAGCAGTATTCTCAATGAGGACAGTATTCTCGGGAGACCAGTATTCTCAGTTAGGACGGTATTCTCAGGGAGAGCAGTATTGTCAGTGAGGAGGGTATTCTAGGAGAGAGTAGTATTCTCAGTGAGGACAGTATTCTCAGGGAGAGCAGTTTTCTCAGTTAGGACGGCATTCTCAGGGAGACCAGTATTCTCAGAAAAGACGGTATTCTCCGGAAGAGTACCATTCTCAGGGAGGAAAGTATTCTCAGTTAGGACAGAATTCTCGGGAAGAGTACTATTCTCAGGGAGGACAGTATTCTCAGGGAGAGCAGTATTGTCAGTTAGGACGGTATTCTCAGGGAGAGCAGTATTGTCAGTGAGGACGGTATTCTCGGAGAATGCAGTATTCTCCGGGAGGACAGTATTCTCAATGCGGACAGTATTCTCAATGCACGAGGCAGTATAGAGATAAGTGGGTAGGTGGGTAGCTGCGTGGGTGGTTAGGATGAGAGGAGGCCCGAGTGGTGGAGTGTGAGGTTGGATGAGAGGAGGCCCGGGTGGTGGTGTGTGAGGTTGGATGAGAGGAGGCCCGGGTGGTGGTGTGTGAGGTTGGATGAGAGGAGGCCCGGGTGGTGGTGTGAGAGGTTGGATGAGAGGAGGCCCGGGTGGTGGTGTGTGAGGTTGGATGAGAGGAGGCCCGGGTGGTGGTGTGTGAGGTTGGATGAGAGAGGCCCGGTGGTGGTGTGAGAGGTTGGATGAGAGGAGGGTGGTGGTGGTGTGAGAGGTTGGATGAGAGGAGGAAGGGTGGTGGTGGTGTGAGGTTGGATGAGAGGAGGCCCGGGTGGTGGTGTGAGAGGTTGGATGAAAGGAGGCCCGGGTGGTGGTGTGTGAGGTTGGATGAGAGGAGGCCCGGGTGGTGGTGTGTGAGGTTGGATGAGAGGAGGCCCGGGTGTTGGTGTGTGAGGTTTGATGAGAGGAGGCCCGGGTGGTGGTGTGAGAGGAGTTGGATGAGAGGAGGGATGAAAGCCGGTGTTGGTGTGTGAGGTTGGATGAGGAGGTGGCCGGGTGGTGGTGTGTGAGGGTTGGATGAGAGGAGGCCGGGTGTTGGTGTGTGAGAGGAGTTGGATGAGAGGAGGCCCGGGTGGTGGTGTGAGAGGTTGGATGAGAGGAGGCCCGGGTGGTGGTGTGAGAGGTTGGATGAGAGGAGGCCCGGTGGTGGTGTGTGAGAGGTTGGATGAGAGGAGGCCCGGGTGTTGGTGTGTGAGGTTGGATGAGAGGAGGCCCGGGTGGTGGTGTGTGAGGTTGGATGAGAGGAGGCCCGGGTGGTGGTGTGTGAGGTTGGATGAGAGGAGGCCCGGGTGGTGGTGTGTGAGGTTGGATGAGAGGAGGCCCGGGTGGTTGTGTGTGAGGTTGGATGAGGGAGGCCGGGTGGTGTGTGTGAGGTTGGATGAGAGGAGGCCGGGTGGTGGTGTGTGAGGGGTTGGATGAAAGGAGGCCCGGGTGGTGGTGTGAGAGGAGTTGGATGAGAGGAGGTCCAGTCGGTGGTGTGTGAGAGGTTGGATGAAAGGAGGTCCGGGTGGTGGTGTGGTGTGAGGTTGGATGAGAGGAGGCCCGGTGGTGGTGTGAGAGGTTGGATGAGAGGAGGCCCGGGTGGTGGTGTGAGAGGTTGGATGAGAGGAGGAGCACGGGTGGTGGTGTGAGGTTGGATGAGAGGAGGCCCGGTGGTGGTGTGAGAGGTTGGATGAGAGGAGGCCCGGCTGGTGGTGTGAGAGGTTGGATGAGAGGAGGCCCGGGTTGGTGTGAGAGGTTGGATGAGGAGAGCCCGGGTGGTGGTGTGTGAGGTTGGATGAGAGGAGGAGGCCCGGGTGGTGGTGTGTGAGGTTGGATGAAAGGAGGCCTGGGTTGTGGTGTGTGAGGTTGGATGAGAGGAGGTCCGGTCGGTGGTGTGTGAGGTTGAATGAAAGGAGGCCCGGGTTGTGGTGTGTGAGGTTGGATGAGGGAGGTCCGGGTGGTGGTGTGAGAGGTTGGATGAGAGGAGGCCCGGTGGTGGTGTGTGAGGGTTGAATGAAAGGAGGTCCCGGGGTGTGGTGTGAGAGGTTGGATGAGAGGAGGCCTGGGTGGTGGTGTGTGAGGTTGGATGAAAGGAGGCCCGGGTGGTGGTGTGTGAGGTTGGATGAGAGGAGGCCCGGGTGGTGGTGTGTGAGGTTGGATGAGAGGAGGCCCGGGTGGTGGTGTGAGAGGTTGGATGAGAGGAGGCCCGGGTGGTGGTGTGTGAGGTTGGATGAGAGGAGGCCCGGGTGGTGGTGTGTGAGGTTGGATGAGAGGAGGTACGGGTGGTGGTGTGTGAGGTTGGATGAGAGGAGGACCGGGTGGTGGTGAGTGAGGTTGTATGGATTTGGAGAATACCAGAACAGAATTGCCATTGCCATATTACAATCTTTATGCAGTAAAACAAGTGTTCAATTTACAAAATGTTGTAACTTACAAAGATGACATTAACAACAAGGGGGAGGCTACAACATGACATCCACATATATACAGCATTACTGAAGGAACACAGCTCTGCTGGGATGTGGAACCTGAAGTGGATCTTCCAAGATGGATACGAGAAACAGAACTTGTCTTTGGAATTTGCAATGTACATTCAAGTTTGTGTGCTGATTAAACGTAAACTAAATGGAATTAGAATTAAAGTTTAGAATTAACTGTAGTTCAACAAGTCCAAATTCAACAAAGCTATTGGTTGAGCAGGAAGTCATCCATGCGCACGTTGTGCTGTCCCTGTGCAGGTTTCACCGTCGCCTTCAGTTGGTCTGGTCACTGTATCACATAATACTGATGCAGTCATAGTTTGTAACTCACTCGCTTCACTTGGTAGATGTATGGTTTCTTATCATGTCTAAATAAAGCTTATGTCAGCAGCAGGTACTTCAAGGAGATGCTCGGTTACCTGTACAAAAGAGCCTCTGGAACTGATCACATGACCTGCAAGCACTTGCACAGACAGGTAGGAAGGCTTCATGCTGGAACTTTATTTTTCTGAACCTCAGCTATCATCAAACTGTCCAACCTAACAGCAATGTAAAGTCTGCTAAACTCAACAATGGTGTCTCTTGTACCCACACACAGTAATTGTAGCACCTGCTTCGTGTCTCTCAGGCCTTCATGAACAAAGCCATGGGTAGTACAAGTCAGTGTCAGACATGTAGCAAACTGTAGCGCCTGATGGTGCCATCTCGGCAGGAGGTGTACACGTGGCTACCGTCACACACAGTCTTGTACACTGGGTCGCAGTCCGCACCGGTCAGCTCAGCCCTCGTCTCCTGACGCTCGTCCACGTAGAAGCAGGAACCATCTCCTGGAAGTTAGCCAACTCATCATCATCAAAACATTATTTGTGTAGGACTATGGCATGTAATGCCAACTGAATGGGGCTTGAATGAATTTTGAACTGATCTTTAAAATGAGGTGTTTCTATTTCTTCTTATTGCGATTTGAGACCTACGTCTGAATAACTGATAAAAGAGTATTTTGAAAGTCATAGTAGAATACAATTAGAATTAGTTTTTATGCACCTGCTTGCTTTTTATGTTTTTACGAAATTGCTATAATTCTTTCTTCAGTTACTAAACAGAATACATAGAGTGAATGCTACAATATACAAAAAGCAGGAAAACACTCAACTATGCCAGTACCTCAAAGTGGACAATAATTACAACAGTGGCCTGGTTTCATCCTAACACATTAACTACAACTATGGAACTGCAGCTCAGAACAGCACAGCGGCGGTCCTTACTGCTGAGAATCAAACCCAGTACTGCCCTGCATCAGTTGCCAGGAAGGTCTACTGGCCTGTATAACTCGTTCACCTCAAACCTCAAACCACACACACACAAACATACACAAACATACACAAACACACAGAGAGCCAAACACACACAGTGACAACACAGACACAGATAAACATGTGTGCACACAAAACACACACACACTCACACATACAAACACAAACAAAGACACAGATAAACATGTATGCACACACAAACACAAAGAGACACAACACAGACACACTCTTTGTCCTGTCTCACTGCCTTCATGCCTGCACAAAGTGAGTGAGTCACACACACACACACACACACACACACACACACACACACCCAGAGCCCAGCCCAGCCCAGCCCACATGATGTTGTCAATCGCCTGAGAAGAAACTACACCAGCAGACAGGCAAGTCCCTTGTCTTTCTGTCCATCATTCAAGTTAGGGTTGTTGTTGTTGAAGAAGGTACAAATATATCTTGAAACACATTTCCTTGGAGAATAGACACATTTCTTATCCAGTTTTACAGTGCTGATGTACCACGGACTGTCAGGAAGCAGACTACCTGTTGATGCGAAGAAGCCCTGTTTGTGTGGCAGCAGAGACAAGATGGCCGACCGAGACTCCTGCCACTCCTTCAGCGGCACTCTGACAAATACAATATGGTGTCAACGCATCAGCACAACATCAAAACATCAACACAATGTAACCACGGCAACAATCTGTGAGTTATGTCTTTAGGCACCAATATGTGGTCACACACACTTCATTATGACGAACGTTGTGTCAGCACCAGTATCCATTGTCTGGATTGTCTGTGAAGTTCTCCTACCACATCTGGCATCACAAAAACTTTTAAGGGATGTAGTATGAACTACAGCTTGTAGGCTTCATCACCAAGAGACTTGTGTTTGGGGTGTTAATACTGTTAATAGTTATAAACATTGATAAACTTCACATAATGCTCCAATTTAATATGCAAAAGAAGTCACCACACAGGAACTGTTTTCACACTCAGTACATCAATGTTTTGTTTGTCAGGAAACTATAGACTGATGTTCCCATTGTGTTTAGATACAGCTTCCCAAAGATTATTACCTTTGCATAATACAATTCATATTAATAATACACGATATTTACAATGTAGAATTTCTGACGTCTCCTGCCGTGATATTGCTGGAATATTGCTAAAGTGGTGTAAAACTGAACTCACTCACTCACTACAATACAGAAAACAGAAATGGCTAACATTGTCTATGTTATGCGATTAATCAGTTTATTGTTTTCAAGGCCATAGGAGTGAGTGAGTGAGTTTAGTTTTATGCCGCACTCAGCAATATTCCAGCTATATGGTGGCGGTCTGTAAATAATCAAGTCTGGACCAGACAATCCAGTGATCCACAGCATGAGCATCGATCTGCTCAATAGGGAACCGATGACATGTGTCATCCAAGTCAGCAAGCCTGACCACAAGGCCATAGGACCCATACCCCGTGCAAATATATTATATTACACTACACATGCATCAAGTCATTGCATAACATCAGATTTCTGTTATAATGTTAAAAATCAATTTACCTATACTTTGACAGAACAAAGATGTTGTTTAAAATTAATTCCAAGAAACAGATCGTGGACTAGGTTGTTTCTTAAAACATTAGAGTGGGTATGTGCATCCGTATGCTGAGGGTATGTTTTAACCACAATGCTCCCCCACAGACTCAGGATACAATGTATACATGACATAGCGAGATACCAGCACATGTGTGAGGTGTGTGTGGCTGATCGTACTCGTCCACGCTGCAGGTTAACACGTACAAGTGGACCATCTTGTTATATCCCCTAATACAGACACCTGGCAGGAGAACAAGTGCCATCTTTAAACATCTTTCAGTATGACACGGCAGAGGATTGAACCACTGGCACTCAAGGCAGGTGCTCTAGCCACTATACCATGAAGGGTCAACATGCTCAAGGGCACAACATTCTGACAATGTCAAGGTGAACTGAAAATACCATCCAGAAGCTAAGGAACTGTCTGTTTATCACACATGTCCCTTACTAAGTGATGTAGTGACGTGGCTTACAGAATTGCTTCACACCATCTACAGTATTCTCATCCCTGTGGCTAGCCAGGCAATCATTTACACACCTGCTGCAGTCAGTCTCTGAATCAATACTGTCAGACAGTTTGGTCACCTGATCACCAGTTGTAAAACCCAGCATATGATCTCTACTGACATGATCACAACAGTATATTCAGATGAAGTGGGAGATCATGGTTGTCTTCACTACTGTTGCGTGTGTGTTCAGCATGTCAAAAGTTATCTCCCTTTACCTCACATTTCTGATGTCCACAACGGTCACGTGACCATCCTGTGTCCCACATACTGCCTGAACGTCTGATAGGAAGGTTACAACGTTGACAGCAGAGTGGCAGTCAAGTTCAAATATCTGGATGAAAACAAAAAACATGGGTTAACAATATTTAACTAAATCTTAATCTTTAAATCTTTTAATCTCTTGAGTTGTGTTGTGTTGGGAATGTGTTGTGTTGAGATGGGAATGGCTTGTGTTGGCAATAGATTGTGTTGTGTTGTGTTGGTCTGTAATGGCTGGTTGGCTGCAGTAATAGTTATCCTACAAATCAGGGGGACGACAGGGACATGAAACTGCTGATCACCATCTCGGGTTATCCAAGTTATAGATGGTACAACGATAAATACTCTAGACTGAATCTGTAGTGAAACACTGTGAGACTCACCTTCTGACGACTGCGTAGCCCGTAACCCTGCAGTGTAGCATTCTCACATCCCAGGAGCAGCATCTTGCCTTCTGTTGACACCTCTCTCTCACCTGGGGACAACACATATAGGAAGTGATTTCCTTCAAACAAAGACACCTGGAAACAATTATGTGAACTAGCTATGATTTTAATGGTAAAACAACAATATATCGGGAGACATCACCTACTTGTGAGTTTCACTTACTGGGAGGGTTGTCAGGCGCACCAAGGTCAATGGAGTTGTCCATCACTTCCACGGAGCAGCTGTTCACGATGCCGCCACAGTCCTTGAAAGTTGTCAGCACTGAACTCTGACCTACATCCCACAGTTTGGCAGTGCCGTCCCTGCCACAGGACACAATGTTCCGACCTCTGTCGATCACTGCTGTCTCCAGGATACCTACATCAGATGGCATCCATCAATTTATCCATGCAATTTCTCTTTATTATGGGCTTTGACAAACAATTTGGATACATGTATATCTGTCCCGAAAACCTGAGCATCAAAATTGACTTCTAAAATGCCACTCAAAGAAGTTAACCTGAGCATCATTTAACATATTTGAAAGTCTGACAAAGAAAACAAGAGAAAATGGTTTGTGTGTCTTACCTGATGTTTCTCGTATCCGTAACATAAATCAATCACTTGGATCCAAACTCGGCAGTTGCAACAGGCTACACATCATGAACCATGTTAACAGTTATGATATACACATGAACGTCACTGATGTAAAACATATCCAAGTAAATGGCAACATGAGGCTACAAACCAGCTGTATGTCCCACGAGTGTTGCTGCACACTTTGCTGTCTCCGCCGACCATATCTTCAGCTGCATGTCTGCCCCACCGGTCAGGATGACCACGCCCGACGGGAAGAACTGACACGTGTACACGTCACCCTTGTGGCCTTCAAGTCTCCGCTGACAGCAACAAACATGTAGACGATATATAAAGAACACAAACATGAACACAAACTCTGAAGAACAAAATTTATGGCAATATAAAAGTCATGAGAAAGCCAAATACCATTAACCATGCCAACTTGATATGAATCAAGCAAGACTTCAAATAATTGTTTCCAGAGGCTGTGCTGATGTATGATGTGTGTTACAGTCCTGGCTTTAACATACAAGGCCTCTTAACGGCCATTAGATCACAGTCATGCCATGACATGCATGTATCACTACAGGGTTGTACAGGATCTTACAAGATGGCTACGCTTGAACAACATGAGATTGAAGAATTTACACAAACATGCTTCTCATAAAATCCAGCATACCTCGAGATTAAGTTGAACACATCAAACAAATAATGCATTCAAAAACTGCAATGAATTGTTTTCAGTGATATTTGTGTATGACATGACTACCTCCAGATGTTCAGATGCAAACTAGAAGTGTGAATTGTGTCGACTGACACTTAATACTTACAAATACTTGATACTTGACAAATACTTGATCATGTAACTCACACGCTACCTTTGCTGGCCGGATGTACATACCCTCACTTCTCCATCACTGGTCTGCCACACCAGAAGCTGGTTCCCACTGTCACATGACACACCCAGACCACCGGCTGTCACGTATCCACACACGGCACCTGGCAATAAACAAACAAGTGTCACATGACACACCCAGACCACCGACTGTCATGTCCACACACGGCACCGGGAATAAACAAACAAGTGTCACATGACACACCCAGACCACCGGCTGTCATGTCCACACACGGCACCTGGGAATAAACAAACAACTGTCACATGACACACCCAGACCACCGGCTGTCACATCCACACACGGCACCTGGGAATAAACAAACAAGTGTCACATGACACACCACCGGGCTGTCACATCCACACCAGACCACCGCCCGAGCCACACACCCAGACCACCGGGTTGTCACACACACACCTGGCACCTGGCAATAAACAAACAAGTGTCACATGACACACCCAGACCACTGGCCGTCACGTCCACACACAGCACCTGGGAAAAAACAAACAACTGTCTCATGGCACACCCAGACCACCGGCTGTCACGTCCACACACGGCACCTGGGAATAAACAAACAAGTGTCACATGACACTCCCAGACAACCGGTTGTCACATCGACACATGGCATCCGGGAAAAAACAAACAACTGTCAGCCGGACCAGTTGTCTGTCTTGTTCAAAAAACAAAATGTAAACAATAGACTTACACTTTTGTTCTGTTTATGTATTGCTGAGAATGAGATCTGTGGGGCCACAAACTTCCTGGTGAGGCTTCCAAGCTCCCCGCTGTATTGGGCTGTTAGTGTGTACTGGAAATACACAGTGGGAACACATGTTACAGTCGAGGTAGGTTCGATAGTAACGAGTACTTTAACCTGTAAACTCCACCACGCCAAACAGTGTTCACTTACCATGCTTACAGTGTAACACAACCCTCCACATGTCACACTGCCTCCTGTTTTACTACCAACAGTCTTTTGGAAGGTGTATAGGGTAATGATAATTCCTATCTCTGATTGTGGATGACCACTGTCTAGATTAAGTAGCTTTCAAATTAATAAATTCAGGAACACATACCACTGCAGTAAACAAATAAATGGACAATAACAATCCCATGTTTAATTCAAATTAAGCTACAGCATCTGTTGCTAAAACATTTTGCTGGTCCAACATATCAGTATTAATCACTCAGCAAACAATAACATTATCAAACAGTCTCTGAGACTGTACTAGTGATAAGCCTATCAGTGAGTGACTAACGGTAGTTTAATAATGATGATGCTTTGGACAATGTTTCACTTACATTTGAAGTGCTAGTTTGATATGGAAAGAAAACTCAAATGTCATGTCTTAAATGTTACCACTATGGTGAAGCCCAAAACAGTGAGTATTGTAGCAATGGTAGCTGACAATGTGTAACTATAAGGTCCAACACGAGATTCCAACCCGTTATCAGATACATCTGGTATGCCCATATGATATAAAAGGGATGTAACTTTTGATACCAATTGCCATGCTGTTGAGGAATGGGCCTCCCCTTCTCCCTTTGAAGCCCATTAAAACAATAATGGAGCGTACCAAGTAGAATTATCTACCTACCAGATGAACAGTTCTGAACATGATGTCAACTTACTTTAGAGATGTTGTGTACAGTGAAGCCATCTGTACCAGTGAGTTCCGGAAGCCCTTCCCGGGATATGCCCTGTGTGTCCAGGTGGCCATGCACACTCGGACAGTCTACAACATATACCTCAGTAAATAACTCTTTACTGTTATCAGCAGCTCAGCATCATGGTTGGCTTATCCATAAGTGAAACCAATCCCCCTCTCACGGCTGAGTATTGATAAACTAATGCCATCATACTGAAGACTGAATTATACATACAAACAAATATAAAACACATTGCTACATTCTATAGTATTTCATTTGAAAATTCATTTCATGCCATAAGTTTGAAATGGAAACACATCAAACATCAGGTGTCACTATTTTGTTGTTGTCTTTGGTTCTTGTGTCACAGTGGCCTGTAAACAACTGAGTCTCAGTAGAAGATTACCTGAGAGGGGTCACTCATTCGCGTGACCATCTGACCATGGACAGGGAAATCCTGCATGTCACTCAAAAACGTGTCTGTTTATGACCAGTGACTGATAGTATGAGCATGGTATGAGCACATGAAGTGCCTGAGTCTATCCACTTATCTGGTTACCTATTAGCATTATGACCAACTGAGGCTTTAACCTGGAATCGCAATATATTTTATGTTCTTGCATGACAAGTGCAAGAGTTCGAAATATGCATACCAGGGCATATATTTGCAAAATGAAAATATCTCACTCACTTGTACCCTTGTATGTTATCCATGCTCGACCCTTCTCTTCTCTGAAATTCAAATGATATATCTCGGCTATCTCATGTTGCATATTCAATACTATCAGACATATTGGGCAAACAAAAATACATTTAGAAATGGCTATCCATGTACATATTCATAATCATATCTTAATTGGGTTTCCAAAATATGGAAAGACTTCCGCCCATATACCCCCTTAAATTTCATTTTTGTAAAATCATATCACCTGAATAAATATTCTTCATCTGGATAAGGATGAGTTTTAACATGTTTCTTTAATTGTATGTAAACATACTGAAAGACACATTCAACTTCTAGAAATGCCACTCAAAGACATGTTTCTTTATCGTTAACATCTAGGGGGGATACGGGCGGAAGTCTTACCCAAAATATATGGGATCTACAGCTAGCTACAGCTGAAAAATGGTGAATTTGGTGCCCATAGGTTGAAACGATTTACTAACGTTGCTGAAAATAGCCTACATCACTGACATTTCACATATGCAACTCATCACAAATGAGAAAGGTCTATTCATTAAAAAATCGTAGGAGATGGTATAAATAGATGTTTCTTTATCGCGTACTTACCTCAAAGAATACTGCCAGTCACTTTGCAAAATCATTCGCTCCATGGGCGCAGCCATTTTGCCGGAAAGTTACACGAAAAGGATGATTTGCGACACAAACAAATTATTCAGTTTCACCAAAAATATTAATTTCAAATAATTATAATAACAAGGTTATCGTCGAAACAAAAAGCCTCTAATTCCGCTATTATGCTCAAAGAGTAAACTTTACTTTTGTAACAACAGCCATAAATGAATAGCTTACTAAATTACAACTTCCGGTTTTGTTCTGTAATGTTTTGATTGACGTTTCATACAGATTCTTTAGACGGACTGTAATCAACATACGGAGGTTGTCGTGTTGGGATTTGTTTACAAGTTTAGTCTTTGTTTTCATGTGTAGTCGATAGATACTGTCAATCGAGACTCAGTACGTAGGAATACCTTTTTTATTTCACCTAACAGGAAACGTCAGACTGCGCCGCACAATCACTCATGCGTAGGTAGTTTTGTTTACAAACAATTTACCACGTGAACTACAATGTTACAAGCAATAATAGTTCTTACCTGATGTGAACGGAGACATTTTCACGGCTATTACACCATTATGAACACTTCCTGGGCTCTCAAGAGGAAGTTCCAACGAGAAATTGATGTGAGTAAAAACGACTTAAAACTATAGTTGATATGAAGGATTTACTGTCATGCACAAAGACCTTTTCATCTTTTTTGTTTGAGATGTTGGGAAACTGCTGAGTTGCAGTTGCATACATTTAGGTAACCATATGATTTCATGTTACTAGGAGTTTTCCTTCAGATTTTCTGTTTCTTATGTGCTTTGATGTGGACAGCATCTGTACAGAAGGATCTGTCAACAATATTTAGTGCATAAACATGGATAGCTTTCTGAGATTTTCCAGCTCAAGTCATTAGTCTTTAGGTTATCTATCTTTACCGATTTAAGACCCAAAGTGCCATCTTCCTTTCTTGCCACACACCCACATTGACAGAATATTTTTGGTGTGCATGGTATGAAAATGTTACTGACTTTTCTGCATTATCTTAGCAATCATAGTAAAAGACCTCTTGAACTTTTAGATCACAAGCAGCATGAACTAATGATTAGTTTGACTTACAATAAGCTTTAGTGTTCTTATTAAATAATGGCTAAACACAATTTGCTTTAGACCTAGTTTGCAGACAGACAATGTTTATTCAGTAAAGAGGCATAAAACAATCAGATGACAATGTATTTAGTGGGTGTGCAGTTTAACTTTGCAACTCTACTTCCTGGATTTTATCAATTTCTGTACATGATAAAAGTATAGGCCAACTTGTATGTAACATTATCATTTTTGTTTTGCAAGAGATTTACAAAAGAGTAATAAACATATTAGTTATATATTTAGCTCTAAGTTTATCATAGGCATTACAAATATATAGTACATGATATTGATTTTCTATATAATGCTGACCTCTGGTTTTACAAAATGGGCATAGTCTTTCGTTATATTCAATTTCATTATACCTACCACATTCAACCGCAGTATTAACATTACTGAATCTAAACCTTGATATAGCAATTCTTAAATGAATAAATGCATAGGGATATCACAACACAAATATCTTTCAACATATAACAAAGTTTTAAATTCCTTATAAAATATACATTTAGGAGATTCACAGATTGATGAATACTAAGATTGTTTTAAATTATCTCCTAGCCTTAGCTTGAATAGATAAACAAAATACTCCACATTTCCAATTTCTTGGCTTAGGCAAGCATAACCAAGTTCATATTAAAATGGGATGTGTCGAAATTTTGTTACCCAGGTATTATAGCCTAAGCTATCTAATGATCTTAACATTAAATAAAATTGATGTGGGAGTCTATTTTGTGGCATATGTATAAGTCTACACCAGAATTTAATCACTCTTGACATGTACAAATGCTGTAATGGGAGTCTGCCACACTCGCCAAGAACCATACTTTAATGTATTTTTTTAATTTGATATGAAATGACACCTGTCAGGTAGGTTACCTTTTTTTTTTTACACCATAATATACTAAGAAAAGTATGATATTTTATAGATAACCACTTCTGTATTATATTGTGATGCAATATTTAGGTATAGATTCTTATTTAGAATTTATGCCAAAACGTTGCAGCATAATCTAATAAAGAAGTTGTTATCCATAGAGTATCCTACCTTTCTTAGTATTCATCAGCTTCTAAAATGCCAAGCAAACAGACCATAATATACGATGGACAGTGAATTAAATATTTAATGCTTCATATACAAAATGATCTCAGACAAACTTCCATGTAGATTTCAGTAGATTCTCAGATCAGTAAGAACAGTCCTTCTGACGATGATTTCATCAATTGTTCCATCAGGTATTTTCTTGTGTTCAGGTTTACATGGGTCTTCCCCTTAGTTTAGTGAATTCAGTTAGGAAATGTTTTTCAAAGAACTAAAAGTAGCTAAAACCCAATTTTTGTGTGTTTTGACTCTCACAGCATTAGGCTGCATACAGTGAAATTAAACTCTTGTAATGGTCTCAAGCTGTAAACTCCTGGAATGGTGGAACTCTTCTCATAACTCACCTATGTTAACATGAAACGTGTAAATACTTTCTAGTCTAATATTTGTCACCATTTCCTGCTTATGACGTCAATTTTTAAATAATGACTCCTCAAAAGAACAACATCATATGTACAACTTCAGCATCTTTTCAACTGTTGTTGGACCACATTTGCAGTCGTGGGGTCTTCATGATGGAAATACAGGTGTATTACACCATATTGTATTCATAAATACACAAAGTATCTTCTTAGTCAACTGGAAAGTTTTATGCAGGTAGATTCATATTTTGTATAATCACCTCCTTGAGAGTTGTTCGTACTTCTCTTCTACACACAAGGCGAGGAGGAGTATGTGTGTCAAATTGTTTTTTACTTTTCGTAACATGTGTCTAAGTATGTAAGTTGTTAGGTAACTAGATTTAATTTTCTTTCAGGAGAAACTGCACACAGGTTTCCAACGTGTTCTGCAGGTCACCCCAGATTTGATCAATCGTCTTGGGTTGGAAAAAGAATTAGAGGTATGCTTTCATCATCCTAGATCCTCAAATAAGATATGTTTGTTTTTGTTAATAATTACCAACCCATGAAAGTTCATCATGCTCTTAAAGTGATTTTCTTAAGGTTTAGAGCACTGTGCTGATTTTATTGCAACTACCTGCTGTTATATCATAGTGAGTAGTTGGAGGGTCCCAGCAACTACCTGCTGTTATGTCATAGTGAGTAGTTGGAGGGCCCCAGTAAGTACTTGCTGTTATGTCATAGTGAGTAGTTGCAGGGTCCCAGCAAGTACTTGCTGTTATGTCATAGTGAGTAGTTGGAGGGTCCCAGCAAGTACTTGCTGTTATGTCATAGTGAGTAGTTGGAGGGTCCCAGCAAGTACTTGCTGTTATGTCATAGTGAGTAGTTGGAGGGTCCCAGCAAGTACTTGCTGTTATGTAATAGTGAGTAGTTGGAGGGTCCCAGCAAGTACTTGCTGTTATGTCATAGTGAGTAGTTGGAGGGTCCCAGAAAGTACCTGCTGTTATGTCATAGTGAGTAGTTGAGGTTCCAGCAAGTACTTTGCTGTTATGTCATAGTGAGTAGTTATAGGGTCCCAGCAAGTACCTGCTGTTATGTAATAGTGAGTAGTTGGAGGGGTCCCAGCAAGTACCTGCTGTTATGTCATAGTGAGTAGTTGAGAGCCCCAGTAAGTACTTGCTGTTATGTAATAGTGAGTAGTTGGAGGGTCCCAGCAAGTACTTGCTGTTATGTAATAGTGAGTAGTTGGAGGGCCCCAGTAAGTACTTGCTGTTATGTCATAGTGAGTAGTTGGAGGGTCCCAGCAAGTACCTGCTGTTATGTCATAGTGAGTAGTTGGAGGGTCCCAGCAAGTACCTGCTGTTCTGTAATAGTGAGTAGTTGGAGGGTCCCAGCAAGTACCTGCTGTTATGTAATAGTGAGTAGTTGGAGGGCCCCAGCAAGTACTTGCTGTTATGTCATAGTGAGTAGTTGGAGGGTCCCAGCAAGTACTTGCTGTTATGTCATAGTGAGTAGTTGGAGGGTCCCAGCAAGTACCTGCTGTTATGTCATAGTGAGTAGTTGGAGGGTCCCAGCAAGTACCTGCTGTTATGTAATAGTGAGTAGTTGGAGGACCCCAGTAAGTACTTGCTGTTATGTCATAGTGAGTAGTTGGATGTCCCCAGTAAGTACTTGCTGTTATGTCATTGTGAGTAGTTGGAGAGCCCCAGCAAGTACTTGCTGTTATGTCATAGTGAGTAGTTGGAGGTCCCCATCAAGTACTTGCTGTTATGTAATAGTGAGTAGTTGGATGGTCCCAGTAAGTACTTGCTGTTATGTAATAGTGAGTAGTTGGAGGGCCCCAGCAACTACCTGCTGTTATGTCATAGTGAGTAGTTGGAGGGCCCCAGCAAGTACCTGCTGTTATGTCATAGTGAGTAGTTGGAGGGTCCAAGCAAGTACTTGCTGTTATGTAATAGTGAGTAGTTGGATGGTCCCAGGAATAGTGAGAAGTTGATGGTCCCAGCAAGTACTTGCTGTTATGTCATAGTGAGTAGTTGAGGGTCCCCAGCAAGTACTTGCTGTTATGTCATAGTGAGTAGTTGGAGGGTCCCAGCAAGTACTTGCTGTTATGTAATAGTGAGTAGTTGGAGGGTCCCAGCAAGTACCTGCTGTTATGTCATAGTGAGTAGTTGGAGGGTCCCAGCAAGTACCTGCTGTTATGTAATAGTGAGTAGTTGGAGGGTCCCAAGCAAGTACCTGCTGTTATGTAATAGTGAGTAGTTGGAGGGTCCCAGTAAGTACCTGCTGTTATGTCATAGCAGTGAGTAGTTGGAGGGCCCCAGCAAGTACTTGCTGTTGTGTAATAGTGAGTAGTTGGATGGTCCCAGCAAGTACTTGCTGTTATGTCATAGTGAGTAGTTGGAGGGTCCCAGCAAGTACCTGCTGTTATGTCATAGTGAGTAGTTGGAGGGTCCCAGCAAGTACTTGCTGTTATGTCATAGTGAGTTGTTGGAGGGTCCCAGCAAGTACTTGCTGTTATGTCATAGTGAGTAGTTGGATGGTCCCAGCAAGTACTTGCTGTTATGTAATAGTGAGTAGTTGAGGTCCCAGCAAGTACTTGCTGTTATGTCATAGTGAGTAGTTGGAGGGTCCCAGCAAATACTTGCTGTTATGTCATAGTGAGTAGTTGGAGGGTCCCAGCAAGTACTTGCTGTTATGTCATAGTGAGTAGTTGAGGGTCCCAGCAAGTACTTGCTGTTATGTAATAGTGAGTAGTTGGATGGTCCCAGCAAGTACTTGCTGTTATGTAATAGTGAGTAGTTGGATGGTCCCAGCAAGTACTTGCTGTTATGTCATAGTGAGTAGTTGGAGGGCCCCAGCAAGTACTTGCTGTTATGTCATAGTGAGTAGTTGGAGGGTCCCAGCAAGTACCTGCTGTTATGTCATAGTGAGTAGTTGGAGGGTCCCAGCAAGTACCTGCTGTTATGTCATAGTGAGTAGTTGGAGGGTCCCAGCAAGTACCTGTTGTTTTGTAATAGTGAGTAGTTAGGGGGTCCCAGCAAGTACCTGCTGTTATGTAATAGTGAGTAGTTTGAGGGTCCCAGCAAGTACCTGTTGTTTTGTAATAGTGAGTAGTTGGAGGGTCCCAGCAAGTACCTGCTTTTATGTAATAGTGAGTAGTTATTGGGTCCCAGCAAGTACCTGCTGTTATGTCATAGTGAGTAGTTATAGGATCCCAGCAAGTCCTTGCTGTTATGTCATAGTGAGTAGTTGGAGGGTCCCAGCAAGTACTTGCTGTTATGTCATAGTGAGTAGTTGGAGGGTCCCAGAAAGTACCTGCTGTTATGTCATAGTGAGTAGTTGGATGGTCCCAGCAAGTACTTGCTGTTATGTCATAGTGAGTAGTTGGAGGGTCCCATCAAGTACTTGCTGTTATGTAATAGTGAGTAGTTGGATGGTCCCAGTAAGTACTTGCTGTTATGTAATAGTGAGTAGTTGGAGGGCCCCAGCAAGTACCTGCTGTTATGTCATAGTGAGTAGTTGGAGGGCCCCAGCAAGTACCTGCTGTTATGTCATAGTGAGTAGTTGGAGGGTCCCAGCAAGTACTTGCTGTTATGTAATAGTGAGTAGTTGGATGGTCCCAGTAAGTACTTGCTATTATGTCATAGTGAGTAGTTGGATGGTCCCAGCAAGTACCTGCTGTTATGTCATAGTGAGTAGTTGGAGGACCCCAGTAAGTACCTGCTGTTCTGTAATAGTGAGTAGTTGGAGGGCCCAAGTAAGTACCTGCTGTTATGTAATGGTGAGTAGTTGGAGGGCCCCAGTAAGTACCTGCCGTTATGTCATAGTGAGTAGTTGGAGGGCCCCAGTAAGTACTTGCTGTTGTGTAATAGTGAGAAGTTGGATGGTCCCAGCAAGTACTTGCTGTTATGTCATAGTGAGTAGTTGGAGGGTCCCAGCAAGTACCTGCTGTTATGTCATAGTGAGTAGTTGGAGGGTCCCAACAAGTACTTGCTGGTATGTCATAGTGAGTAGTTGGATGGTCCCAGCAAGTACTTGCTGTTGTGTAATAGTGAGTAGTTGGAGGGTCCCAGCAAGTACTTGCTGTTATGTCATAGTGAGTAGTTGGAGGGTCCCAGCAAATACTTGCTGTTATGTCATAGTGAGTAGTTGGAGGGCCCCAGTAAGTACTTGCTGTTGTGTAATAGTGAGAAGTTGGATGGTCCCTGCAAGTACTTGCTGGTATGTCATAGTGAGTAGTTGGAGGGTCCCAGCAAGTACTTGCTGTTATGTCATAGTGAGTAGTTGGAGGGTCCCAGCAAGTACTTGCTGTTATGTCATAGTGAGTAGTTGAGGGTCCCAGCAAGTACTTGCTGTTATGTAATAGTGAGTAGTTGGATGGTCCCAGCAAGTACTTGCTGTTATGTCATAGTGAGTAGTTGGAGGGTCCCAGCAAATACTTGCTGTTATGTCATAGTGAGTAGTTGGAGGGTCCCAGCAAGTACTTGCTGTTATGTCATAGTGAGTAGTTGAGGGTCCCAGCAAGTACTTGCTGTTATGTAATAGTGAGTAGTTGGATGGTCCCAGCAAGTACTTGCTATTATGTAATAGTGAGTAGTTGGATGGTCCCAGCAAGTACTTGCTGTTATGTCATAGTGAGTAGTTGGAGGGCCCCAGTAAGTACTTGCTGTTATGTCATAGTGAGTATTTGGAGGGCCCCAGCAACTACCTGCTGTTATGTCATAGTGAGTAGTTGGAGGGTCCCAGCAAGTACCTGCTGTTATGTCATAGTGAGTAGTTAGTAGAGGGTCCCAGCAAGTACCTGCTGTTCTGTAATAGTGAGTAGTTGGAGGGCCCCAGCAAGTACTTGCTGTTATGTAATAGTGAGTAGTTGGAGGGTCCCAGCAAGTACCTGCTGTTATGTCATAGTGAGTAGTTGGAGGGCCCCAGCAAGTACCTGCTGTTATGTAATAGTGAGTAGTTGGAGGGCCCCAGCAAGTACTTGCTGTTATGTCATAGTGAGTAGTTGGAGGGCCCCAGCAACTACCTGCTGTTATGTCATAGTGAGTAGTTGGAGGGTCCCAGCAAGTACCTGCTGTTATGTCATAGTGAGTAGTTATAGGGTCCCAGCAAGTACCTGTTGTTTTGTAATAGTGAATATATAGGGGGTTCAGCAAGTACCTGCTTTTATGTAATAGTGAGTAGTTTGAGGGTCCCAGCAAGTACCTGTTGTTTTGTAATAGTGAGTAGTTGGAGGGTCCCAGCAAGTACCTGCTTTTATGTAATAGTGAGTAGTTATTGGGTCCCAGCAAGTACCTGCTGTTATGTCATAGTGAGTAGTTATAGGATCCCAGCAAGTCCTTGCTGTTATGTCATAGTGAGTAGTTGGAGGGTCCCAGCAAGTACTTGCTGTTATGTCATAGTGAGTAGTTGGAGGGTCCCAGAAAGTACCTGCTGTTATGTCATAGTGAGTAGTTGGATGGTCCCAGCAAGTACTTGCTGTTATGTCATAGTGAGTAGTTGGAGGGTCCCAGCAAGTACCTGCTGTTCTGTAATAGTGAGTAGTTGGAGGACCCCAGTAAGTACTTGCTGTTATGTCATAGTGAGTAGTTGGATGTCCCCAGTAAGTACTTGCTGTTATGTCATAGTGAGTAGTTGTAGGGTCCCAGCAAGTACCTGCTGTTATGTCATAGTGAGTAGTTGGAGGGCCCCAGGAAGTACCTGCTGTTCTGTAATAGTGAGTAGTTGGAGGACCCCAGTAAGTACTTGCTGTTATGTCATAGTGAGTAGTTGGATGTCCCCAGTAAGTACTTGCTGTTATGTCATTGTGAGTAGTTGGAGGGTCCCAGCAAGTACTTGCTGTTATGTCATAGTGAGTAGTTGGAGGGTCCCAGCAAGTACTTGCTGTTATGTCATAGTGAGTAGTTGGAGGTCCCCATCAAGTACTTGCTGTTATGTAATAGTGAGTAGTTGGATGGTCCCAGTAAGTACTTGTTGCTATTATGTAATAGTGAGTAGTTGAGTATGGTCCCAGCAAACCTGTACTTTTGCTGTTATGTCATAGTGAGTAGTTGGAGGACCCCAGTAAGTACCTGCTGTTCTGTAATAGTGAGTAGTTGGAGGGCCCAAGTAAGTACCTGCTGTTATGTAATAGTGAGTAGTTGGAGGGCCCCAGTAAGTACCTGCCGTTATGTCATAGTGAGTAGTTGGAGGGCCCCAGTAAGTACTTGCTGTTGTGTAATAGTGAGAAGTTGGATGGTCCCAGCAAGTACTTGCTGGTATGTCATAGTGAGTAGTTGGAGGGTCCCAGCAAATACTTGCTGTTATGTCATAGTGAGTAGTTGGAGGGTCCCAGCAAGTACTTGCTGTTATGTCATAGTGAGTAGTTGAGGGTCCCAGCAAGTACTTGCTGTTATGTAATAGTGAGTAGTTGGATGGTCCCAGCAAGTACTTGCTATTATGTAATAGTGAGTAGTTGGATGGTCCCAGCAAGTACTTGCTGTTATGTCATAGTGAGTAGTTGGAGGGCCCCAGTAAGTACTTGCTGTTATGTCATAGTGAGTAGTTGGAGGGTCCCAGCAACTACCTGCTGTTATGTCATAGTGAGTAGTTGGAGGGTCCCAGCAAGTACCTGCTGTTATGTCATAGTGAGTATAGTACCTGCTGTTATGTCATAGTGAGTAGTTGGAGGGTCCCAGCAAGTACTTGCTGTTATGTCATAGTGAGTAGTTGGAGGGTCCCAGCAAGTACCTGCTGTTATGTCATAGTTAGTAGTTATAGGGTCCCAGCAAGTACCTGTTGTTTTGTAATAGTGAATATATAGGGGGTTCAGCAAGTACCTGCTTTTATGTAATAGTGAGTAGTTTGAGGGTCCCAGCAAGTACCTGTTGTTTTGTAATAGTGAGTAGTTGGAGGGTCCCAGCAAGTACCTGCTTTTATGTAATAGTGAGTAGTTATTGGGTCCCAGCAAGTACCTGCTGTTATGTCATAGTGAGTAGTTATAGGATCCCAGCAAGTCCTTGCTGTTATGTCATAGTGAGTAGTTGGAGGGTCCCAGCAAGTACTTGCTGTTATGTCATAGTGAGTGGTTGGATGGTCCCAGCAAGTACTTGCTGTTATGTAATAGTGAGTAGTTGGATGGTCCCAGCAAGTACTTGCTGTTATGTCATAGTGAGTAGTTGGAGGGTCCCAGCAAGTACTTGCTGTTATGTAATAGTGAGTAGTTGGAGGGTCCCAGCAAATACTTGCTGGTATGTCATAGTGAGTAGTTGCAGGGTCCCAGCAAATACTTGCTGTTATGTCATAGTGAGTAGTTGGATGGTCCCAGCAAGTACTTGCTGTTATGTGATAGTGAGTAGTTGGAGGGTCCCAGCAAGTACCTGCAGTTTTGATATAGTGAATAGTTATAGGGGGTTCAGCAAGTACCTGCTTTTATGTAATAGTGAGTAGTTATAGGGTCCCAGCAAGCACTTGCCATGTGATTGTGTTGTGGTGTTGTAGGGGCACCAAGGCTGTGTGAACTGCCTGGAGTGGAATGAAGATGGCACGTAAGTACCAACCAAAACATTCAGAATATGGACACGGTAAAGTGTGGTTGTTACATGATTCTATTCATACTATTTTATTGTTATTAATGTTTCCATGTTTGTAATGGTCAACAGGGCGGTGGGGTGACCTGGAGGTTAAAGTATTTGCCCCGAAGACCCAGGTTCGATTCCCCAAATGGGTACAATGCGTGAAGCCCATTTCTGGAGTCCCCCACCATGGTATTGCTGGAATATTGCTAAAAGCAGGGTAAAACTAAAATCACTCACTCACTCACTAATGGTCAACACGCTGTCATCATAGTCCTGAGAATAGATGCTGTGCTATCTTAGCGACCATTATGTTTGTTGATCAAAAACTTACTAATAACTAAGCCTCATATAGAAATAATTCTATCAGGAATTTGGAAAATGCTGTTTTTATTGGTCAATCAAAAGTTTTTCAAAACCAAATACCTGATTGAAACATGCATGATTGATTGCTGCATGATGTGTTCAAATTCAATTATGCAAGATTTATCAACAGATAACCTTTGCTACGAGTGTGTAACAAATTCAGGAAAATCATGAATCATATTTCAGTGTTGATACAGGTTGATCTATCAGAATATTTGTGTCTGCAGGCGACTGGCAAGTGGCTCGGATGATGTTCAGGTGATCATCTGGGACCCGTTCCATCATCGCAGTCAGACTACAGTGAGAACAGGTCATCAGGGAAACATCTTCTCTGTCAAGGTGAGAACAAGTTATTAGGAAAATACTATCTCTGTCAGATTAGTTATCAGTGAAAGATTTGAACTGGTTGTAAGAGATTTAAATTGGTTATTGATGTGAGATTTGAATTGGTTTTCAGTGAGAGATTTGAATTGCTTGTCTTTGAGAGATTTACACTGACTTTTGATGTGCAGTTCCTACCCAACTGTAATGACTCCATTGTGGTGACTGGGGCAGCTGACTGCAAGATTCGGGTCCATGACCTCAACCTCAAGGACACAACGCAAGTGTTCAGCTGCCATGCTGGGAGGGTCAAGAGGATCGCCACTGCACCCAATGTGCCCTTCATGTTTTGGAGCGCTGCGGAGGATGGGACCGTTATGTGAGTTACTGATTATCATAGCCGCGGATGGCACCTTTGTGTGAGTTACTGATTATGGTGGCTGTGGATGGCATCGTTATGTGAGTTACCGATTATGGTGGCTGAAGATGGAACCGTTCTGTGAGTTACTGATTATGGTAGCCCTGGATGGCACCTTTGTGTGAGTTACTGATTATGGTGGCAGTGGATGGAACCGATTCTGTGAGTTACTGATTATGGTGGCTGTGGATGGCATCGTTATGTGAGTTACTGAATATGGTGGCCGTGGATGGCACCTTTGTGTGAGTTACTGATTATGGTGGCTGAGGATGGAACCATTCTGTGAGTTACTATTCTTTTTCAGAAGAAGTCCTTCTTGGGGTACATATAGGCATTTAAATGTCCATTTTAAATCCTACGACAGTTGTAACTTGAATATTTTTCAATAAAATATTTACAAAACAAAACACTTGTTTTGTCTTGTGAGACCACCCCTACAGGGCCCCACTGGACCCCCTACAGCCAAGAGCACGTCACTTTTCATGCTGTCGTTCTGTTGAATAGACGTTCGTGGTGTTCGCTTCACACCTCGTTCGATGGTGCTCTGCCTAGGCAGCACCCTCTCGTACAGCGCTGCGTAGCTGGCATGAACAGGGTTCGACCGCCTCGGCGGCGACCCAGCCCACCTTATAATTGCCAATTATTCTCAATTGGCTGTCTGGTCCTGACTTTTCAAGTATATCGTCTCTCTCACTTCACTTGTTGACGTGGAAGACGGCTTTACTTGTGGTGGGGTACATCCATGCGATACCCACTGACCCGACACTGACAGTATTTTATACTGATCATGTCCGTATTCGCCTCCTGGATACCTACCACTCTCAGTTCGATATTGCTTTCCACGTGACTGTTCATATCGAACTTCCACACCTTACCCAGCCTTCCACACCAGGGACCAATCTTTTGATTGCTCACCCGTGACGACGAACGAACGAAAGGAATCCGTACGGGTACCCAGACTGGGGAGTCTGCAAGCAAGCGGACTTTCGTTGTTGGCTCGTTTCCGTAATTGTTCGGTTACAATGCAAAGGTCTACCTTCCCCCGAGGGGTTGAAGGCAGACTGGGTAGGGCAGATGCCGCTTTGTTGGCAATTCACAGCGGCACTGCTCAATGAAGAGATCGGTTCTGTCGCTCTTTGGACCCGGCAGAACGCCTTCATTCGCCATTACCGACTTGATACGCATTCTAAGGATCGTGCTCGGTTTGGCCTTTCGGTTCTCTCCAGTGGAGAGTGTCCTACCACCCTGACCAAGTTAGTAACTGGTCATTGGTATCGGATCTGTGTTCAATGTCGATATGGTTCATATCACTACATCGTATAAGCCTTACCACCCTTTCCGGTTGGGTCGGGTTTGGGTGTATATACGTCCCTTACGTCCTCTTCACTTAAAGGCAAGAGGGCGGGGCCGGTTTTGAGCACTTTAACCAGTCATATGCTATTAACCCGTCTTGCGACGGAATTGGGTACGAACCCCCCACGGGTCACTGTTTGGTATGCCTCTCTTCGAGATGCATGTCACGTGACATGGTTAGTGTAATAGTGAGCCAACACATGTTCGGCTACGCTTTTCGCTATTCAGGGGATTTTTGTACGCTAACAGTTTTTTCCCTCTTCCCGAGACTTCGGTATTTGGGAGTCTGTGTTAATCAGCACTTTGTGGGATGGTGGTCTACACTTACCCTCCTCACGCTGAGAGTGTTTGGTGAGGGTGTTTTATCCTGTTTTTCACTCGTACAATGCATGGCGTTTGTACTCGTTCGATTTCCTCAGAAAGTTTTTAGCGAGGCTAATAATTTCTCTGGGTTTTATTGAGGTCCCGGCAAGCCCTCTTCCAAACAGGAGGGGTGCATTCGAGCATTAGTTTGCAGTACTTATTAGCTTGGCTTTTAAGCGTTTAAATTTTTACACTTTCCCTACCCTTATACCTCTCGCCACACTTCTCTGGTTGGGGCTATATTAGGGTTGGGAGTTGTTTCGGCATGTCCCCATACATTCCTTTCGATTGTAATGGTCGGGGGTGGGGTTTTATGTCATAATTGTTTGAGCCAATTGACGTATAAGCTTGGGCTCTCTAGTTCCCGCCCTAGCCATGCCCCCACCTGATTGACATCAGCGGTCAGGTGGCTCGGTAAGTGTGTGTTTTCTATTTCCGTATCGGGTTGTAGATTTCACTCCACCACGGGTTTAGTTGTTGCCAGACAGAATGCCACTCCCGTCTCTAATATCTTTGGGTGAGGTGAGGTGAGGTGAAGTGAGATTGGGTTTAACGTCGTGCTTGAGAATATTTCGCTCATATGACGACGTGCATGCGTGTGTATATGTATGAGTGCGGCTGCTTGTACTAGCCCAGACTTAAGCTGGTTTTATAGTGCTAGCCCACTGAGATACCATGCCGCAGTGAAGCATGAATACCCCACTCAGACACATTATACTGACTCCGAGCCGACCAGTCCTTGTTGTACCCATTAATGCCGAACGCCAGGCAGGGACCAACAAGTACCATATTTTAACGTCTTTTGGTATGACGTGGTCGGGTATCGAACCCGCGACCTTCCGCTCTCCGGGCGGACGCTCTAACCACTACACCACGGAGGCGGTCCTAATATCTTTGGGAGTCTGTCATATGCTTATATGTACCCCAAGAGGAATTATACAAACCTGTAGAGGTTATGAATTCTCTGTATAAAGGTTTGTATAAATTATGGTGGCCATGGATGGCATCGTTATGTGAGTTACTAATTATGGTGGCCGTGGATGGCCGCTATGGATTATGGTGTTATGGTGAGGATGGCATCATTATGTGAGTTACTGATTATGGTGGCCGTGGATGGCATGGAGTTACTGATTATGGTGGCCGGATGGCATCGTTATGTGAGTTACTGATTATGGTGGCCGTGGATGGCATCGTTATGTGAGTTACTGATTATGGTGGCCGTGGATGGCATCGTTATGTGAGTTACTGATTATGGTGGCCGTGGATGGCATCATTATGTGAGTTACTGATTATGGTGGCCGTGGATGGCATCGTTATATGAGTTACTGATTATGGTGGCCGTGGATGGCATCGTTATATGAGTTACTGATTATGGTGGCCGTGGATGGCATCGTTATGTGAGTTACTGATTATGGTGGCCGTGGATGGCATAGTTATGTGAGATACTGATTATGGTGGCCGTGGATGGCATCGTTATGTGAGATACTGATTATGGTGGCCGTGGATGGCATCATTATGTGAGATACTGATTATGGTGGCCGTGGATGGCATCATATATGAGTACTGATTATGGTGGCGTGGATGGCATCGTTATGTGAGATACTGATTATGGTGGCCGTGGATGGCATCGTTATGTGAGATACTGATTATGGTGGCCGTGGATGGCATCGTTATGTGAGTTACTGATTATGGTGGCCGTGGATGGCATCGTTATGTGAGATACTGATTATGGTGGCCGTGGATGGCATCGTTATGTGAGTTACTGATTATGGTGGCCGTGGATGGCATCGTTATGTGAGATACTGATTATGGTGGCCGTGGATGGCATCGTTATGTGAGTTAGATTACTGATTATGGTGGCCGTGGATGGCATCGTTATGTGAGAGAGATACTGATTATGGTGGCCGTGGATGGCATCGTTATGTGAGATACTGATTATGGTGGCGTGGATGGCATCGTTATGTGAGATACTGATTATGGTGGCCGTGGATGGCATCGTTATGTGAGTTACTGATTATGGTGGCGTGGATGGCACTGATTATGGTGGCCGTGGATGGCATCGTTATGTGAGTTACTGATTATGGTGGCCGTGGATGGCATCATTATGTGAGATACTGATTATGGTGGCCGTGGATGGCATCGTTATGTGAGTTACTGATTATGGTGGCCGTGGATGGCATCGTTATGTGAGTTACTGATTATGGTGGCCGTGGATGGCATCGTTATATGAGTTACTGATTATGGTGGCCGTGGATGGCATAGTATGTGATTATGGTGGGATGGCATCGTTATGTGAGATACTGATTATGGTGGCCGTGGATGGCATCGTTATGTGAGATACTAATTATGGTGGCCGTGGATGGCATCGTTATGTTGATGGCAGTGTCATGTGTTTTGATGAGTAGGAAGCCTCTACTGGGGGCTCTGTTTTTGATTACTATAAGAGCCATGACGCTTTTGTATTGCCAGTTTGAAGCTAGGCTGGGCTAGTCAGTTAATCTAAGCAGGCAACATGTTAAGACAGCACCTTTAAAGAAATACTGATGCCGACTTTGCCTGCCAAGTAGTGAATTCTAGATTATAGCCTGCTTATACTTGACAGTAACACTGTCCTTAATGTTTCTCTTGACATTTACAGGCAGTTTGACCTCCGCAGCCCTGAGTCGAGTCAAAACAACCCACGGAATGTCCTCATCAACCTCCTTGCTCACATGGGAGAGTATGCTGAGGCAAAGTGTATCTCTATCAACCAGCTGCGCCCGGAACTTATAGCGGTCGGGGCCAATGACCCGTATGTGAGGGTGTACGACAGACGCATGCTCACCTGCCGCAGCATGAAGTTCCCTGGAGACTTCAACAACAGGTGAGTACATACGCCACTTCATCGGTAACAGTGGTTGCACGCTTCCTCTGTCCCCTGGGTATTAAATCAGTAGGTAAACCTTATTGTCATGATAAATCTTGCAGCCAGTAACATGATGTGATGCCTGGGAGTACAAGGGGTCTCTCTAATTCACCATTTGATTACAGATTCCCATGGGAGCATCCTCACCTGGAGCTGATGGATGGGGAAGACTACACCCTGCCTCCTGGCTGCGTCAGCTTTTACGTCGCAGGTACATCACCTGGCTTCCTATACACACCACTATAGCTTCCTATCTACTCCACTGTGTCTCCCTATATACACCACCATGGCTTCCTGGATACTCAACTAAAGCTTCCTGTATATACCACCATGGCTTCCTGTATACTCCTCTGTATCTTTCTTTATACACCACCATTGCTTCCTATATCCACCACTATAGCTTCCCATTCACTATATACACCACCCTAGTTTCCTGCATACACCACCCTAGTTTCCTATATACACCACCCTAGCTTCTTATATACACCACCTTAGCTTCCTGTATACACCACTATAGCTTCTTCTACACCATTCTACTTCACTGTGGCTTCCTATAAACACCACCATGGCATTTACACCACCTGGTTTCCTATTTATACATCAAGAGTTATACTCTACTATATACAGTAATTTGACTTGTATACGCTACTTTGACTTCCTATTTACACTACTAAGGCCTCAAGCATAACCAAGTATATACACCACATTGGCTTCCTATATCCACTTCCATTGCCTCCTATTTCCACTTCCATGGCTTCCTATTTCCACTTCCATGGCTTCCTATCTCCACTTCCATGGCTTCCTATCTCCACTTCCATGGCTTCCTATATCCACTTCCATGGCTTCTATTTCCACTTCCATGGCTTCCTATATCCACTTCTCATGGTCTCCATGGCTTCCCTTCCTATATCCACTTTCATGGTCTCCTATTTCTACTTCCATGGCTTCCTATATCCACTTCCATGGCTTCCTACATCCACTTCCATGGCTTCCTGTACACACTCCATGGCTTCTTATTTCCACTTCCATGGCTTCCTATATCCACTTCCATGGCTTCCTGTATCCACTTCCATGGCTTCCTATTTCCACCTCCATGGCTTCCTATATCCACTTCCATGGCTTCCTATATCCACGGGCGGTGGGGTAACCTAGTGGTTAAAGCGTTCGCTCGTCACGCCGAAGGCCCGGGTTCGATTCCCCACATGGGTACAATTTGTGCAGCCCATTTCTGGTGTCCCCCGACGTGATATTGCTGGAATATTGCTAAAAACGGCGTAAAACCAAACTCAGTCAGTCAGTCAAACAGTCCTATATCCACTTTCATAACCTCCTATTTCCACTTCCATGGCTTCCTATACACACTTCCATGGCTTCCTATACACACTCACATGGCCTCCTATACACACTTCCATAGCTTCCTATTCACAATTCCATAGCTTTCTATACACACTCACGTGGCTTCCTATACACACTTCCATGGCTTCCTGTATACACCTCCATGGCGTCCTATATACGCTTCCATACAATATTCACTAAGAATTGTGGATTTTCATTTGGATGTTATGGCGTTTTGGTTTTGCTGTTTTGCTGAAAACCAAAATGTTTGGATGTTAAAATTTTGTGGATCAAAAGTTCATTTACGCCACTTGCAAGCACACAGTGTTCATTGACAAAGATAGTTCCAAAATGAACTATTTTCGTTTCTTGTTTTCAGGTCATTTACCCCAGAAGCAGTCTGACTACAAGAAGAAATACCGCACACTGGCTGCAACGTACGTCACATTCAGTCCTGATGGCGCCGAGCTCCTGGTCAATCTTGGAGGGGAGCAGATCTACCTGTTTGATGTCAACAGGAAGAGGCAGGCACAGAAGTTTGACCTGACGAACTTCCTCTCACCTAATGGAGTAGTCAAAGGTGGGACTGATCACACTGAGCTTATTGAAATATACTCGTTTATCAGCAACATTATGAAAAGGGTTTAATGGTAACATATGGGCTTTTAAAGTGTACACTTGCCTGTAAGAAAATAGTTGTCCTTTACCCCAAATTAAATGTCATGAGCATCTGTAACAGCGGGCCTACATTGTATGGATACACTGACGTATTCACTGTCACCTCTGATGTATGTTCACATCCTCGTACGGTTCACATCCTCACGGGTTCACATCCTCGTGCGGTTCACATCCTCGTACGGTTCACATCCTCGTACCTCCGTGTTCTAGAAGCAGCAGCAGCAGCAGCATGTTCCCACACCAACGGATTCAGCTTACATCGAAATGGAACCACCACCAACGGCGTGACGAACGGTGTAACCAAGCATTCGGTGTTGACATCTTCAGCGGCCTGTGTAGCAGCCAGAGACAGTGATGATGCCATGCCCAAAACAATAAAGAGGTAGGTTCCATCTACAGGACGTATCAGTATCGGATGTCTAAAATATCCACCCAAAACTCCTTTCGTCCTGGCTCAACAGCAACGGACAGCCTGGCGACACAGATAGACATATTTACCCAGAGCTACTGTGAAGACCATTTGTAGATTACTATAAAGAATGATGACTATCGTTGATTGGCTTGTCTTACAAGGGTGGTGGTGGTCCCTGCCTGGCGCTCAGCATTAATGGGTACAACTGGTCGGCTCGGAGTCAGTATAATGTGTCTGAGTGGGGAATTCATGCTTCACTGCGGCGTGGTATCTCAGTGGGCTAGCACTATAAAACCAGCTTCAGTCTGGACTAGTACAAGCAGCCGCACATACACATACACACGCATGCACGTCGTCATATGAGCGAAATATTCTCAAGCAGGACGTTAAACCCAATTCACCTCACCTCACCTTTCAAGGGTTCAACCTCCCTTAGTGTTCTACTGTTGTGTCTAAGTGCAGCCATGACACTGGTATCATCACAGGCTGTAAAGTCTAATGGCTCTGAGGCAAGCCAACCGTAATGACTGGGGTGATCCATAACCACATGCATGAAGGGAGAGATTACTGAGATTCTCCACTTGTCACCTCTATGCGTTTGTGCAGTATTGAAGAACTGGCCATCTAGGTCTGAGGACTGAAAGGTCTTTCTATTCTTGGGCGTGCTGGAAATCAAAGCGGAGCAATACTTCCTGTCTCTGAGCTGTGTCATTGTCATTTTGGTAATGACACAGTCTGGAATCATGGTGGTCGGGATCGCCCAGTCTTTGGGAGTAAAGTCAAGTGTTGCGAAGTGATTTCTGAAACAACCCATTACACGTTCTCACTGTTGTTGTATTTCACAGACTAGGGTGATCTGTGGCCCACCATCCAACCATGGGATAAGTGTATCAGTGATTTAGTGAGAAAGGAAAAGTTATAAACAATTCCTGATTAAAATTTTAAAATTTATACATGATTTCAGTATTTTAATTATGGTAATCAACATAAAATTAGTGGAATACATGTGAAATGTAGTTAGGATCAGTGTATTATGCAAATGTTAGATTAGAGGGGCTTGACTGTACTTGACAATGAATATCACATACCTTACCTTAATACATGACAATTGCAGACACAAAGCTGACACCAAGAACCTGGGCCCACTGGTGGAGACCCTCAAGAAACGAGCTAATAGTTGTTTTGAGAAGGAACAGTATACGAAGGCTATCATGTTGTACAACCAGGCCATTGCCCGAGCCCCCCACGGGCCAGTTCTGTATGGCAACCGGGCCGCAGCATACATGAAGAGGAAGTGGTGTGTATCTGCTCCTACACTATGGGGTATTCCTTGATGGAAGGGATGTTGCAACAGGGGAGATAACTCGGCCTGATTACAGGCACATCAACATTATGGTTGTCATATTTAAATAGTCTTGAAGTATTTTATTCTGGTTCTACTTTTGACTGGCGGACAAGTTCAACCCTTCAGGTGGCAGCAGAATTATTTGCTGTACAATAGCTGGTCAGGGGTGCTTATGTATGTTTTGTCCTTATTCAGTTATGTTGTGGTCTGCTCTTCAAACATTTGTGTTAGTTAGTGAAAGTATAGTTTTGGTGAAATCGGCTCCCTGATCATGTCATGCCATAGTTGTTTTCATATGATGCCATTTAGTAACAGAAAACCAGTCAGTATGGTTGCTTGCATTTCAAATGCAATGTAAGAGAAGTTTAAACAAATTGTTTCAAGTTTTACTATTTGTATTGATTGAATTACATGCTGAGTAATTTGTGGTTTGTTAGAAGGTTTGATCAAGTTTTAAGTAATATGTCTGGCAATATATACTCAGACAGTGAGAGTGTATTGTTTCCCATTTTGCAGTTACCAGCAATTTTGGCACTGTAAAACTGAATGACATAAAGCCCTTTTTTGGTTAATTTCCCCCTGCTGCAACGTGTAAAGGGGGACTGTGTGTTCAGCTGTGTCTGTACGTACGTACGTCCAGATTCTTGTTAACGTGATATCTCATGAACTGTTGTACCCGATATATTCGAATTTGGTAACAGCCTGCATTTGGGGTATACGCAGACACAAGTCGATTTGGGTGACCTTGACCTTATTTTCAAATGCGATATCTCATAAAACATTGCACCCAATGTCTTCAATCTTTGACAGCCTACATTGAGTAATTATGCAGACACCAGTCATTTTAGGAATCTTGTATGTGACCCAAAAATAAAAACTAGTAAATATGTTATAAATATTTCATTCTTCTTTAGCGGCGGGGTACATTGCCATATTAGTGGCAAACACTTGTTGTATTTTGGTATGGGTCGGGGAAGTTTTTGCTCACCAAGTATGGAAGATGTGGCTTGAGACATTGTTCTAACTGGCTGAAGGAATGAACAGCAGAAATATTCTGTGGAAATATCTAGGAGCCATTGTTGTTTCTCTGTATTTGTGTATATCTCTATTCCTCGGCCATGTTTCCAGGGACGGAGACCTATATGCAGCCATGCGAGACTGCCACAGTGCCTTACGTCTAGACTCAAACCATCTGAAGGCACACTTCCGTCTGGCCCGATGTCTGTATGAGCTGGCATGGCCGCAGGAGGCACATGAGTGTCTGAAACACTTCAAGTCCAAGTTTCCTGACTATGCCAAGAGCCACGCATGTGAAGCCCTGGACAGAGACATAAAGGCAGCCATATTCTCATGGACAGATCCAGGTACAGTTGTACTGAAATATATACATTACAGGTTACTCCATGACATTTGATTGGCTAACAAGCCATTATGTTTGCATTTATGTTTCATACCCAAAACTCGTGAAGGTCCGGGTTGGAATTGATCTTCAGTGACCCATGCTTGTCGTAAGAGGTGACTAACGGGATCAGGTGGTCAGGCTCGCTGACTTGGGTGACACATGTCATTGTATCCCAGTTGCGTAGATTGATGCTCATGCTGTTGATCACTGGATTGTCTGATCCAGACTCGATTATTTACAAACTGCTGCAATATAGCTGGAATATTGTGGAGTCCAGTGTAAAGCTAAACTCACTCACTCACTCATACCAAAACCAACTAGGGCATGTCCACTATTAGGCTGCTATCTCCTGATTGGCTGACAATAGACTGGGTGGGGCTTGTGATATATCGAAGTGATGTCATTGATTCCATCCTGGTTTCTACAGCCTTGTGTGTTAATGATTATAGAAACAATCTGCCAGGGTATAATTGTTGACGTAGTTATTTGTAAGGAATGATTTCATAATATAGAAGTCAATTCTTAAGATGATGTGCAAGCACTGTTTATTATGGTGAAATATCTTCCTATAAATCTATCTAAATCCAGCAGAGGCAAAATGCTATTTATGGTGAGAGTGTGTATTGTCAGTATGTCATGTGTATGTACAGAACATTAGTTACATGTATCAGTACATTATGTTCATGGGAGGAGTTAAAAGTAAAGGAAAGTTGTAATTTGTGAGTGAGTGAGTGAGTGAGTTTGGTTTTACGCCGCTTTTAGCAATATTCCAGCAATATCACGGCGGGGGACACCAGAAATGAGCTTCACACATTGTGCCCATGTGGGGAATCGAACCCGGGTCTTCGGCGTGACGAGCGAACGCTTTAACCACCAGGCTACCCCACCGTCCCTGTAATTTGTGAACAAGTGCTTAGTCATGTTGAAGGTATATACCTGCACTGATCTACAGGTGAGGAGAAGGAGAGTGGGAAGGGGGACGAGGGCGGGAACCGGCGCGGCACACCGGTCATCTCAGACCAGGAGAAGATCCTCCGAGACACCGCCTGTGACTATGAGTTCCGTTTTTGTGGACATTGTAACACAACAACTGACATCAAGGAGGCAAATTTCTTCGGCAGGTGAGTTTAGAAATGACCATGAACTTATTCATAGTTCGTTCCTATATTTGTAATCTTAGGGTTGAACTGGTGCCCTTGATTATTTTTGTTATATTTTGGTTCATGACATATGACAAGCAGCAGCTTGTTCCTCTTATAGTACAGGTAATAGTTCTATTTGTGTTTTGTGATTGAGTTGAGATGTGATTGATAAATGTGTCAAGCTGCTCCACTGCAGCCACTGACTTAAAGATCAGCAGTAAATAGTTTGGGACTTCTAAACACGAACACAGAAGCATGGTAGCATACACTGATGCACTTACTGTATATCTTCTAGCAAGCAGACTCTGTTGTTGTGAATGGCCGACTTTTGCTGGCCTGTAAGTAAGTCAACAAACAGAATACCTGTATCATCCTTCATTCCCACTCACTAGGATATCAGTCCAGACATTACTGTATGGCAGTTACACCTGTATCATCCTTCATTCCCACTCACTAGGATATCAGTCCAGACATTGCTGTAGGATATCAGTCAGTCCAGACATTGCTGTATGGCAGTTACACCTGTATCATCCTTCGTTCCCACTCACTAGGATATCAGTCCAGACATTGCTGTATGGCAGTTACACCTGTATCATCCTTCGTTCCCACTCACTAGGATATCAGTCCAGACATTGCTGTATGGCAGTTACACCTGTATCATCCTTCGTTCCCACTCACTAGGATATCAGTCCAGACATTGCTGTATGGCACACCTGTATCATCCTTCGCTCCCACTCACTAGGATATCAGTCAGACATAATGGCGGGTTACACCTGTATCATCTGTATGGCATCATCTTGTATCGCCCCACCCACTCACTAGGATATCAGTCCAGACATTGCTGTATGGCAGTTACACCTGTATCATCCTTCGTTCCCACACACTAGGATATCAGTCCAGACATTCCTGTATGGCAGTTACACCTGTATCATCCTTCGTTCCCACTCACTAGGATATCAGTCCAGACATTCCTGTATGGCAGTTACACCTGTATCATCCTTCGTTCCCACTCACTAGGATATCAGTCCAGACACTGCTGTATGGCAGTTACACCTGTATCATCCTTCGTTCCCACTCACTAGGATATCAGTCCAGACATAACTGTATGGCAGTTACACCTGTATCATCCTTCGTTCCCACTCACTAGGATATCAGTCCAGACATAACTGTATGGCAGTTACACCTGTATCATCCTTCGTTCCCGCTCACTAGGATATCAGTCCAGACACTGCTGTATGGCAGTTACACCTGTATCATCCTTCGTTCCCACTCACTAGGATATCAGTCCAGACATTACTGTATGGCAGTTACACCTGTATCATCCTTCGTTCCCACTCACTAGGATATCAGTCCAGACATTGCTGTATGGCAGTTACACCTGTATCATCCTTCGTTCCCACTCACTAGGATATCAGTCCAGACATTGCTGTATGGCAGTTACACCTGTATCATCCTTCGTTCCCACTCACTAGGATATCAGTCCAGACATTGCTGTATGGCAGTTACAGCCTTGTATTTACACATGTTGTTTGATTCCTGGAACTCTTACAGCAACGGGCAGTACATTGTGGCTGGATCAGACGATGGATCCTTCTTCATCTGGGAGAAGGAGACAACCAACATTGTGAGGGTGCTAAGGGGAGATGACTCTATTGTTAACTGTCTACAACCCCATCCAAACTCATGTCTCCTAGCAACCAGTGGCATTGATCCTGTAGTTCGACTCTGGAGTCCTAAAGCAGAGGTAATTACCGTGAGGATTTTCTGGTTTGGTTTCCAAAGAGGAGTGAGAATTATATGCCAGTTTGGTGAAAACAGTTTGGAAAGTGTTTTCGGGTCCTGTTCATCCATACATCCACAACTTTCATTATACACACTTGACTTATAATGATCATAGAGTAGGAGTGCTTACAGAGGGGAGGAGTGTGTTAGGTTGTCGTGCACCTAAATTCAGTCATCTGATCATGTGATATATTGTTTCATTTACACAGAAAAAAGAGATGACAAACTTTATGATGATCAACTTCTTTACTGTGGCAATGGCGACGTTTCGGTATAGATTCTTATACCGTTTTCAAGCATATGGGGGAATGATTGGGTACACTAGTTTATAGACAAGATACATGTACATATGATCATGTGATAACAATAAGAAAGGTGGGAAAACAAAGCATCACAGAAAATGGTACAATATAAAGAAGTTGATCCTGTTGATTGTGTACAAATTGTACAAGCAGACTAAGACAAGGAACGTGTGATACCTGCATCTTACTGTGTTATTTGATTGTGATGGAGTAATGCTGACTTAGTGTAAAACAATATCTACCCATCCACTAACACTAAATATCAATTTGAGAATTCAGTGGTGCTGATAAGAATTTTCACTTCTTTTAAGGATGGCAGTAAAAATGAACGTGAAATTGACAACTCTGATGATGCTGCATCAGCCAATCAGAAGCGGATGAATGCAGATCCTCTTGAAGTGATGCTCATGAATATGGGTTATCGTATCACTGGATTCCTTGATGTAGACGAAGATGACTCGGAACGAGGCGAGCAGCCTGTCAACTGTAGACCTACCTGATCACCTAGCATTATGTGTCATGACCTGGTTACCATGACAACCAAGTAGATGTCAGCATTTCCCCAGGGAATGTGTCAGAAGTTCACATATCATTTTTAACATGAATCATTTTTTTAGTTGGTTATGGCTAGCTTGTGTTTGAAGGCACACTCTCCATTAATTGAACAATTTTTCAAAATGTCAGGATTGTGATCATAGGTGATCTTGTTTGTCATATTTGTTTCTGAAGGAAGTTGTGTTGTGATCTGACACTGTGTAGTGTTGGATTGATTGGGGAAGAGAGATCCTCACACTGGTCCTGCTTGCTACAACACAACAATACTGCTTTTATACCAGAAATAATGCTTGGCTCTCAGTCAGGTTTGGGCAGTGAAGAACTGATTTAAGTAACACTGACAAGTAAGACGTAGTCAGATGCACATTTTGTTGCATTTAAAACTGATTCTGTGAGATCTCATGATTTTCCACTGGACCAAAAGTCTGCTTCTAGTTATTGTACCTTAAATCCTTGAATACATCTTAAGATAAACGCCTGATTTGTTGAACATGATAAGATACACAAGAAGATAAAATGTCTGTCAAAATGACCGTAATGTGAGTGTTAGGAAGGCTTGTTGTGACTGCAGAGTGACAAGGGTGTTGGACGAAGTATGCTTTCTCCTATTGTGTACATTCTTTCAATGTCAATAATATACTTTTGGTTGTTTCAATACTATTTACTTTCTAGATGTGAGAACATCAGTAACTGTGAGATGTTTTCTCTGGACACACCAGCTCTGCTTGCTTGGTACACGGCACTGTCTATATATGGTTAGGATGGGTCACAGTTGTGCTCCAAGATGTCAGAAGTAGATAAACAGCGTCATGTTTTATTGTCTGGGTAAAGTGTTCCCCAGGACTAATGCCATATTTGTTGATGTTCATACTGTTGATAATGTTTTGCTTGTATGAACAGAATATCTAAACCGTGACCAGTGAGAAGAAACTAAACTCACTGGACCTCATGTACTTTATTTTCCTACTGCTGACCGAGGCTGAATTATTTCAGTTGGCAAGCCCACTGGTCTCAAAGAGGGGTTTGTTTTCTATATGAGCATCAACATGGATGTGTTGCTACCCTGGTTTAATTTCCACTACTGATTTGTTTCATGAGTGTGTCGTTCAACTACTGACTGTAATGGTTTGCTCTGTGAGGGCCAGACAAGTTCTTGTTCTACGGATAAGCTTACCCTAACACCTTACTGTGAGGGCCAGACAAGTTCTTGTTCTACGGATAAGCTTACCCTAACCCCTTAGTTGAGCATGCAACTAGAGCAGAGTTACAAATGGTTACATTTTCATTCCCCTCCGCCCGTTAGAAATGATCAATTAAAAGAACTGTTTCCTGAAAATGAGGTCCAAAGCATTAAATTTAGTCACATGTATATTTTAACCATTGACATGTGCTGATATTACAGTGACCAGCACATCTTCAGCTGACGACATGCTAGTGATGCTTGAAACAATAGGGGTGCTTGTTCTTGCCTTCCACAGCTTCTCTGATATATACTACCCATCAAAAGTTTACACTCACTAGCCTAAATGTAGCCACTTACAGTCAACTGTTCTTGACTAGATTTTGCAAAATATTCCATACTGTTTAAAGGTACTGTTTACACATGAACTGATGTATTGGAAAACAAATTCGTAACGTTGAAAAGATTATTGTTATGAGTTAAATAAATGATGAAACTCAGTGAAAATTGGCGAATTCTTAACAAAACTTTACACCTAAACGCTGCTGTTCACATGCTCTATATGTACACATGCTTTTCAGCAATTTGATGCATGATCCTCGTGCAATTCATCTGCATAAGGTTTGCAGTTGGTTCACCCAAGTTAGTGGAGAAATTCATATACATCACTTAAAGCACTCACCATATGTTAAGTATATATATATATATATACTTAACATATGGTGAGTGCTTTAAGTGAGTTTAAACTTTTAATGGGTAGTATAAATATACACATCCCCTGCAAGTATTTCAGATCAAGAAGACCTTGGAGCACTTGTTAGGACATTAATTTCATTCAACTCCAGAGGATGGATACTTGTGTATCTGTCTGCTTTCTGGTTATATGTGATGCAAGGATTTCCACAGCATGACTAATGATGAATATTGTGTTTACAAACATTAACTTTAATTAAACAAGAGAGAACAGAAAGTTTTCACTTTTACTGAACAGTTGAAAGGTTTGAAAGGTAGACTGAAATCAACAGGAGGCTAGTGATCAGATTATGGCAAGAGAGTTCATATTGCTTCACGACAGATCTTCCAGCTATTCATGTAATGATTCAATTAGATCAAATGTTAGTGGTGATCAGTTCAGTCTGTAAAGCCACAGATATGTGACTGGTTAGGTATTGGGTACAACTAAGCAGTATGGATGAAGCATGGATGTATTGTTCTATAGTTATATCATACAACTACGTACACTATATAGTCAGCACACCTATCTGGAATATCTTTCAAATATTTGTGAATGATCAGATGTTAATTATTTGCCGTAAACTCTACTGATGAACAGTGGAATCACTTCAAGACTTCTGTGTATACAACCAGGTATCACCCTTATGAATCTGTCGTATAGCTGACCACTAACACACTCGGCCATTGGCCATCCTCATTAGGAGTATCTCCATGGCAGCGTCACTGTGTGTCAGACATGGAAACTTATTTAAACAGTGTGTGTTCGGGTGACGATGGTCTCTGCTGACGAGGCAACATCTGTACCTCCATCCTGGGTAGTCCCGGGAATCACACCTCCATGTAACAGCACCCTGAACCGCCAGGCCTTGCTCTGTAAGTCCCGGGAATCACATCTCCATGTTACAGCACCCTGAACCGCCAGGCCTTGCTCTGTAAGTCCCGGGAATCACACCTCCATGTTACAGCACCCTGAACCGCCAGGCCTTGCTCTGTAAGTCCCGGGAATCACACCTCCATGCTACAGTACCCTGAACCGCCAGGCCTTGCTCTGGAAGTAACCACCTCCTTATATACAATGTCCAAGAAATGTGAGTGATTTGATCAGATGGATGTTATTAGCATCAGGCTCAAATGAAACAATGGGTGTGGAAAGGAGATATGGTACCTTAGATTATGTAGGATAATCACTGGTTCCGACCCCTGATAGGCTGAGTATATGTGTAGGGTTGTAAGCAGGATGCTGTGGTACATCCTCACAGTGTTATCATTAAGTCTCCCTTCTACTTGAGTCGAACACGGGGTAGTATGACTGGAATGGTTTGTGTCTCGCTGTCATATTGGTAATATTGCTAAAAGCGGCGTAAATCTAAACTTACTCACTGGAATGATGTATGAAACAGTGTTGAACCAAAGTCACACAATGTTCCCTTGTTTGGAAGAGCTGTCAATTTAGAGTGAATTTGTTTGTACACTAGAGTCATCTAGTACATACACAACGTTTGTACACTAGAGTCATCTAGTACATACACAACGTTTGTACACTAGAGTCATCTAGTACATACACAACGTTTGTACACTAGAGTCATCTAGTACATACACAATGGAGTGGGGACCTTCACTGCGGACAGATATTAAAGGGAGATAACTGTTTTTCTTGTCTAGCATGATTTCTGTATATGATACGTAAATGTTTATCATAATTTGTTTATTTTCATGTTCTTGAAATAATAATTGCAGAACATAGGAGTGATTTGATGTGTTTATCTAACCAGCATTACATGTATTTTTTAAACAACTTTTCAGTAAATCACATTTTCAATTTTGTAAACCCAATTTTTCTTCTAGATGAATTTGGTGCTTTCTGTTCATGTGATAGTCAGTAAGCTGAACTTATGAATTTGAACATCTACTGATAAAATATTCATATTTTGGGGTGGGCAAGAAAGAGTGGTGAATGGTTCACTGAAACAATCAGGGAATAGTTGGTATTATTCAGCGTCAAGAAATGGTCGGTCCACTCCAAATACTTGCTGCTAATTGCATGGTTTGCTATTTTGAGTCTGATTATATTCTTATTGAGACATATGCTTATTTTACCCTAAGTTAGCTTACATGATATTTACACAATGTATTGTACTGCCTGTTCACGTAATAAGCAGATAGATTGCAAGAAGAGGGCATGTCAGGCCTGTAGTTATCATTGTAGGATTATTTAAATTATTTTCACTTTTTGAAAGCGAAAAGGATGTCCCATGTTCCTCCATGCTGTCAGAGTGAAGATAGCACACAAGTCAACACCTGTCGACATGAAGGTGTGTTTATTGGAGGCTGGAAGTCAGAATAATCACTAGTACTCTGTCCTGCCAGTGTTTGACAGATAGAGAGACAGAAGAGGAGGGGTGACTTTGTGAGTTATTGATTAGTGGCCAGGTGGAGCATGTTCAAGGCGATCATGGGTGTGACTTGTCAGTCGATGTAGGTTTGTGTAGGTGGGACTATCATAGGGTCACTTTGTGAAGTGGGGATGGAGGTGAGTGTATCGTCATCTTCATAAGGATGGTGCCAGTACAGATGATGCAGGTCTGTAGGTGTGTCATAATGCAGGTGTGTGGGTCTGTGAATGTTGACAGTTGCTAGTTCCATGCTGTGTGATGTCAGCTGGGAGGGAAGTATTGGTGGATCCAGGGTTTTGAAAAGCCATGAAGTTAACAAACAATACCCGTGATAAGTCAGTTTGCTTAGGTGTCTAAAAAAAGGATGTTGGTGTCCAGCCCACCGTCTATGGGATAGCCAGTGACAAGGTGTATACTTCGACCATCACTTGCGCAGTTTGCACCATTTTGGCTCAGCCACATATTTTGTGTCACATAAAGCCAACTGGAAATTTTGCAAAAGTCATTAATGTGCAAAACTTACGTAGACACAGAGAAGTTTATTCCGACACAGAGAACGTTCTGTTGACACAGAGAAGTTTATTCCGACACAGAGAATGTTCTGTTGACACAGAGGCTTCATCTGTTCCTGTGGCATGTTCCAAGAGTAACAAGGGCCGGTGGGGTAGCCTAGTGGTTAAAGCGTTGGCTCGTCACACCGAAGACCCAGGTTCGATTCCCCACATGGGTACAATGTGTGAAGCCCATTTCTGGTGTCCCCAGCCGTGATATTGCTGGAATATTGCTAAAAGCGGGGTAAAGCCAAACTCACTCCACTCCAAGAGTAACAACAAACTGTGGTCCTTGTTTCTGTAGCTCGTGACAGGACTGACAGCTTGTCCCATCTCTCTGTACAGATTTGTGGTTGTACATTTGTTATTTTGCAGCAGTTGTATATTTGATGTATACAGCATCTAGCTTCTATAAGTGTGCAAGTGTTTTGTATGATGTCTGTAATATCATGTTTGTACAGTTTAATTCTTTCCCCTATGTACAGAATTCCAAATGACAGCAGTGTGGCAGCCAAGTGGCTCCCCTGTCAATAAATGATGGTATGTTGGTTTGGCCTTTGTTATTCATGATCTGCTGATAGCAACCACCGATGGACACTGTGACCAGCAAACAACATGGTATGATGAGAGTCAGTGAGGGAGTGAGTGAGTGATAGCAACCACCGATGGACACTGTGACCAGCAAACAACATGGTATGATGAGAGTCAGTGAGTGAGTGAGTGATAGCAACCACCGATGGACACTGTGACCAGCAAACAACATGGTATGATGAGAGTCAGTGAGTGAGCGAGTGATAGCAACCACCGATGGACACTGTGACCAGCAAACAACATGGTATGATGAGAGTGGACACTGTGAGTGAGTGAGTGAGTGATAGCAACCACCGATGGACACTGTGACCAGCAAACAACATGGTATGATGAGAGTCAGTGAGTGAGTGAGTGATAGCAACCACCGATGGACACTGTGACCAGCAAACAACATGGTATGATGAGAGTCAGTGAGTGAGTGAGTGATAGCAACCACCGATGGACACTGTGACCAGCAAACAACATGGTATGATGAGAGTCAGTGAGTGAGCGAGTGAGTGAGCGAGTGATCGTGCGAGCAGCTGTTAGCAGCAGTAGATGCAGCTCATGTCAAGCCTTGGTGCCAGCCTCCTCACAGTGCTCTGATTTCCAACAAACAGTGCTGTATTGTGAACAGTTAGTAACATAAGAAAAGATATCGTATTGAGTGTTTGTCTGAAAGCTAATGTTAGGTAAGATAACTGGGATTATATTTTGTTTATGTACACCTGATACTTCTGATGGAAGAAGAACACAGCAGATAGCCAAACACTGTTGGCTGAAACCCTATATTAGCGATTTTATCACCTTTATGTACTGAAGAATTCCCCAATGCTCTATTGTCAAAGTGAGTGAGTGAGTATGGTTTTACACCACTTTTAGCAATATCACACTGGGGGACATCACACATTGTACCCATGTTGGGAGTCGAACCAGGTCCTTCAGTGTGACCAGCCAACACTTTAACCACTAGGCTACCCCATCGCCCCTGGGTAGGCAGGAGTGAGTGAGTGTATCCTCCAAGACTAAACCTTTCACCATTCAGTGAATATATATAAACATTGTATGTTTTCAGATTAGGGCTGGGACGGGTACTCGGGTACTCGAATCCGGGTCGGGTACACCTGGAATCGAGTCCTATT